CTCAGAGCCACAGCCCCTACGACGTCATCACGCGATGACCTGCGACGTCCCCGGATCAAGGCGGGGTTACCCGTCACTATGCTATCCACCGTGCACATGGGTTGACGCCCATGCCTCATCATCTTGCCAACTCTGCTCCAAGGACAACGCAGCATGGGGAGCCACGTCTGGCTACTGTGGCCTCGGAATCAGTACCCAGGGCCAATAACTCCCCCAAGGCCTCGACAGTTTGCTTCACGGGCTCGGCAGCCTGAGGGTCCATGACCACCGAGCCCCCCACGATGGCTCGGCCTCGGCATCTGCAGAGCCGCTGCTCCTCTCTGACGTCATTACATCGGCGACCAAAGACGTCGCCCGCCATGTCCTACATCAAGCCGCATCGAGCCCCACGACGCACAAGACCGAGTATGACCAAAGATGTCACTTCCGCATGACAAGGACGGGCCACTCCATCGACCATACCACAACAAAGGCCGACTACGAGTGGCTCGGACACGCCACCCCATTTACTGAAGCGCTATGTAGCACCATGCAGACGGGTCCCGTCCTCCCTTAGAGTATAAAAGGGAGGGACTGGGGCCATTTCGAGAAAAGGCCGGAAAAGACGAACACGCCGATAGAACCATCGCACTCCTACGCTTGCTTGGGAACAACGCCTCAAGCAGCCCGCACCACACTCGCCGAGACACAGGGCTAGTTCCTCTCTCACCTAGCTTGTAACCCCCTACTACGAGCACTCCGGTGCAAGGAATACAAGATCGATCTCTCGGACTGGACGTAGGGCCTCGATTGCCTGAACCAGTATAAACCTTGTGTCTCTTTGCGCCACCATCCGGGATTAGGGGCACGTAGCACAAATTCACTCGTTGGTTGAGGGACCCCCGTTCCAAAACACCGACAGCGCTTAAGGGTACAATTATTGAAAAACGGACGAGCAGCGGGCGCGGCGTCGTCCTGGCGCTATATGTGCCATTGTAGGCCGAATCTTCATCAGCGACAGATGCTGAATAATATTTGCATAAACAAGTCCAAAGAGAAAACACAGTGGCCCCCAGAATGCATAACATGGTCCACGTGACCACATGGGTGAGTGGACTGGAGGAAGCCCCTGTATTATACAGTGGATGACCTATGAAATTTTGAAAAAAAAAGCTATTTTGAATCGAGACGAGTGATGCCACCTGCTATCCTATAAATTTGTTAAACAGAACTTGAACAAGCAGACACAGTGTCTGTTTAGTTCCCAAAATTTTAAATTTTTTTCAAGATTCCTCGTCACATTAAATCTTTGGACGCATGTATGAAGCATTAAATATAAATAAAAAATAAAACTAATTACACAATTTAGACGAAATTCACGAGACGAATCTTTTAAGTCTAATTAGACTATGATTGGACACTAATTGCTAAATAACAACGAAAGTGCTACATTACTATTTCCTTAAAAAATTCATCAACTAAACAAGGCCATAGAAAAAACAAAAATGTTTGTTATACATGAATTGAACTGGCCCAGCTAATGCTCCATTTGATCGGAATGCAAGTCATTTAGGACGTGGTACGGTCTCTAATGTGATGCTTTGACTTATTTTTTTAGATAATTATGATGAACCTGTCGACACCAACCGCATGTTGTCAATCGATATAAGGGTTTGATGATTTGAGTGGGTAGCGCGCGCGCGCGCGCTCTCTCTCTCTCTCTCTCTCTCTCACACACACACACATATATATATATATATATATATATATATATATATATATATATATATATATATATATATATATATATATATATATATATATATATATATATATATATATACTAGCTAGCGTGTCCGTACGTTGTTACGGGATAACCATTTATACTAAAAACACGGATCGCACGATGAAATAACAATACTGTAAAAATTAAATACCAACGTTAAAGTGACATTTAATCAAAAAAGCAAAGTTTATGAATTTAACACAGTCACGGAGTGCGCGGCGTCGCAGGCTTACAAACTCTACTTTATAGATCTTTCCGTGATGCGGCTAAGATAATATTTTATATTGGCAGGAAGAAATCTCCGATATCCATTTCTTCCATTGTAATCCATTTATCTGGACAATGTTTGAGGTGAGGGCACGGTTACAGTTTCAGTAGCTTTGCGATATTATCCGAAGCTATGAGATGATTGATGTCTTACAATGATCCCTTCATTAATTTAGTTTTCTATCTATGTTTAATTGTTTATTCAGTCTATTTTATAGGCACGCCGGTAGATAATGGATGACAAAATTCAACCATTCATAATTTATCTCTTTGACTTTGAGCATGAGTTTTGTTTTTACCGTAGCGTTAGCATGCATGAAAAATGAAGATTTATTTACACCGTAGAAATCTTTCAAGAATATCATGCATAGATTATTCTTGTATTGAATATTATATATATACAATCACATAAATATTCTAATTAAACTACAAAATTTTGAATTAGGATATGAGGTAAGACATGCAAACAGATATTTCAAAACTACCTATAGAGTCCAAAGAACTTAATAAATAAATCCTTCTAGAGGCAATGCAAATTCTCTCTAATCTTTTATTTAGTGTAGTTAGTGTTATCATATTACCCGCATGTATTCATGGGAAATAAATCATGGACAAAACTTGAACACTTTTTTGTGCGACATTTCAACATGGGCCCATCGTCCTGCCAATATCGTGAGGCAGATCACATAAAGGATGAGAGTCCCTCTATGAGATTGCTCACAAAAGACTCAAACTTATATCTGATCATGATAATGTTGAATTGCTTTGCATCCAAAGCATCGGCAATGATAAACGGGGACATATGTTTTAGTATGCATAGTGGAGGAAAACTCAACCGTGGCCTTCTCAGCAGCTTTTCTGAGCCTTTGCAGTGCTAATTTATCCTTACTCAGATAGTCAAGAGGTACAAAGAGGTTACTTTTGTCTTAATTCTCTTTCATTCTGTGTTAGTTCTCTTTTCTTTTGCTTGTTGACATGTATGCTGGTGCATGCAAACATGCAATGTGTATATGGATAGCACAATAATTTTCCACTTCCTATTTTACCGTGATTGTTCTATCACATGACAGACAATATTCAATCAAGGAGAATGATACGATCAATTAGTAATTAAGATAAACCTGTAACATGCGGAAGATGTCGTGGGATCGCAGACGTGAGCAGACGGACGAACCAAAACAAATGTCGCACAAAAAAATGTCCACACTTTGTTTTTTTAGTTGTATATATATATATATATATATATATATACAGAGAGAGAGAGAGAGACGTACTATTATGTAGCTGGCTGCAGAATAAATTATTCTGTGGCCACTTTGAGTTACGATAGTTACTATACTAATTTACGAGATTATGATAACTCCCTCATAAGTGATTAACTATAATATTATGGTAAGTATCATCTTGAAATATAGTAACCTATGTATCGTAAATGTGTATTGTCGTTATCGTAAATTAGTACCAACATTATCATAAATTAAGATGGCCATAGAATAAGTTATTCTGTGACCAGCTGCAGAATAACCTTACCGTGTGTGTGTGTATATATATATATATATATATATATATATATTACTTGGAAATGATTTGATGGGTTATGTGGACAGGCAATTTCAGTATCTAAGGGTTTCACAAAATGGAACTCGCGGGCCACGTGCATCGTCATCGCGCGCGCCGGGCATGCTAAATTGCTAATGCAATTGTGCTTGTGCATGCGGAGGTCGTCCTGGACACGCGGCCAGGGCGCCCGGCTGCGGCCGGAGCCACTTGTCGGCCGCGATGGTAGCGTCCAGCGGCACGTCGACGTCGCCGCGGTAGACATCGATCAGGCCAGAGGAAGGCTGAGAAGGAAGATCCCGCACGCCGCGTGACGTACAAGTACAACCATGTGTGTGACCAATGCAAACCAAACTCTCCGGCCGCACTGCACCGCTTCCTTTCTGCTGCCTCCTTTGCTACCTTGAGATTTTTGCTCAGCTTAGCTTCTTAACAAGAAGGACCGTTTCAGCGTCGGCCGCCCCAGCTCTGCTGATGATCGATCAGCGAACGTGATAGGGTTTTGGTTTCCTCCCCCTCCAATTCTGAAACGTGGGACGCCGCATACACTTGCACCGTTCCACGCGCACAGCCCCTGTGTGCTCTTCTACACGGGTGTGTTTGGTTCCATGGATATAGGACATAGATATATATGGATACAGAGTGTTTGGTTGGATGGACAAGCTGAATCCTGAATATCCATAACAGGAAATATTCTGGGTAGATGCTAGATATCCTAGTCTAAAAAATCTGGCGGACGAGGATATCCACATGTTGATTAGCGCATGTTTTGTGTATTACAATTAGAGTAGTATAGTGTTAATTAACATATTTTATTTTTAATTAGTGATTATAATGACAAGATTAGTGTGAGTGCATATTTATTAGGGTATAATTAGTTGTTATTATTTTTAAATAATAGATATAATTAGTCAAGTATTCTCGTCTAATGCAATCTCATTCATCCAATCAAACAGAAAAATCAGCTCATCCTATTTATCTAACCAAACAGATAACATGGATATCCATGTCTCGAAATTCATAGATGGCCATATCCCAATCATCTTTGTCCTCGACCCAAACACAGAGTATCCTTCTCCTTTGGAATTTGGTCCAGACCTCGGGGTGTCTGAGTGCCTGCCGCTCTCGTTTTCTGATTTCTGAACCTCCTCACCTACCTCTCGCCGCCTCCACCGGCTATATCATAGTAGTAATATCTTCATCTCTTTCTTCGGTAGCTGCAAATCTCTGTCTGATACAGGTAGGTAGGGTCTCATCTGAAACAGAACTGCCTCCTCGCTCTTTCTCTATTCTTCTATACATACAGATACAGGGTACTTTCCTTCATTCCTGGCCCCAAGGGTTCGACCAATAGGTTCTCAATTCTGCCTTGCAGGTTCTGCGTTACTGTGGGAGGGGAGCCTTGTTGGAGATGGCAAGCTTCAACCAAGAGAGCAGAGCAGCCCCGCAGAGGGAGGAGGTACTAACTACTACCATCTCCATGCTTAATTTCTCCGATCATACGTTTTACATGCGTATCAGTTATCTGCTTATTCGGAGGTCGGCAGCACACATATATCATCCTGCCATGTCGATAACAGCTCCTGTTCTTCTTCTTCGTCTTCTTCTTTTACCACGGGACTGTTCACTTCTCCTTCCTACCGCGCGACATATGTTTTGATTCACAAGCACACACAACCTTTTTCTTTCCCTTGAAGAATTGAGGTGGATAAGTTTATACTATCTGAAATGCCCGAGAAAAATATTCCTACCACTACCATGGACAGCCATTGCAGGTCCAGATGAAGGTGTCTATATGTTTCCAAGTCACAAAATTTGACTCGTTCGGTCCATGGTTGCTTTTCCCCTGTATGTATAGAAGAATAGAAAAGATGATCGATGAAAAAGAAAACCACTTGAAAGTTGAGACGTCACATGCCACTTGAACACACCGGTCGTTTCGTTTCGTAAATACGAGAGGACGATGCCAATTTGGTCTCGCTTTTGTTGTTTCTATTTCCACGGGGGAGGAGAAACCGAAATTCAAACGTTCTTGGCCGCCCATTCCGCTCGCTCCGAATATTCCGCGGCGAAATGCGCCTCCGGATACCTAGGTCAACCCGGGGAATTCACTGGATTTTTACTTGGGTGGATTTGGGCCTCAGGTTTCAGTTGAGCACCTAAAGCCCACGGCGAAAGGCCACGCGGGTTTTTTCTTTTTTCAATACAAGTTGCATCATCATCAGGATATGAAAGTCTGCAGTGTTGATTCAGTCCTATTACTTTGTTTTCTGACTTTATTTAGAGACATGCGACATCTTTACATCATAGTTTGATGGAGTAATATAGCAAGCTTCCGACCTAGATGGGCCATGGTTCAGAGATTGTGGCTTGTATGAAGAAGAAGAAAGTAAAGTACTCCTATTTGATAATTGCCCTGAAGTGGTTTTCCAAGAGATTGTATGGTTTTCAAACCTCCAGGCCCAGGGTCAATTGCTCAAAAGCTGACATTTACAGTCTTGTGGTCAAATTTAGACAGATGTGACAGTGATCTCGCCCTTATTCCTTCTGGGAGTTTTTTTTATGCAAAGCTACAAACTAATCCTTAGACCTTGGTACAACTGTGTCTGTTGGCCGACGACAAAATATCATCCTCCTCTGAACCATCGGCCAATCAGGATCCAACCTTCTTGGGGGCAATTCAGCTGCACTGTCTGATTCAGGAGCGTCGATAAGATTGCAGTAGGTAGCAGATCACTATCCTAGTATCCTGAAGAAACAGAGCAAGTTGGCTGCTGGGCAGTGGGGCAGTGTGGCTGGAAATGCTTGAGGGGCCACGCCACCGTGGCGAACAGTAAAATGCAAAACAAAACAAAACAACAAGTTGGCCGTGGTCTCTTGGTTTTCCCATTGCGGTCGACAGTGTTGGCGTACTAGTTTATTAGGACACGTGGGCTAAACTATTGCCTGGTGGGGATGTCAGGATCGGATTGCCCGTACTGTACGTTGTTTAATCCGAGTGATGGTTTAACGATACTCCTACAATATGATAGCATATCAGTTTCTTTATATATATTCACACACACAAAAGAAATCTGTCTGTCTGTCATACCAGTTTCTGATGTGACGCACAGCTACCTGCTAGTAGGATGTGCGGTTTTGGAAGAAAGCGTGAAACCGAAACCGTCAACTCAGATGGTCGATCTATTTTCTTTTTCTTGTTTGCAGGCACCTGTACAGAGCAAGTACGGAGGCATTTCTCCGAAGAAGCCCCTCATCAACAAGGACCGCGAGCGCGCCTACTTCGACTCCGCCGACTGGGTCCTCGGCAAGGTAACGAGAAACCAAGACAACCGCAAATATCCACGAACTGGTTGCAGTCTGCAGACCCGTACTAACCCCCCTTGTGGGTGTCTCGTGTGTGCAGCAAGGCGCGAGCAGCAACAGCACCACGACGGTCCTCGCCACCACCGAGCCCCTCAAGCCCAAGCTACAGGTATGGGCAAACAAACAAGAAAAACCATGCTCTCTCGAAACCTTTGCTACATCATGCTACTACTCGTGAGTCGTGGCTCTGATGGGTGCGTGCCTCTGTTTCTTTCCGTCTTTGATGAAATGAAGCGGACGGCGTACCACCAGCTTCCCCCTCGACGGCCCGCGTGCACGTCGGAGTAGCTCGGCGAACGGTGAGTCGCCGGAGCATCGTAGGGAGCCGGAATGCACGGAGGTGACACCACTTGGGCTGTAAAAACTGTACGGGGATGCATGCTATTCCCAGTGTGGAGTACTGGAGTTCGTATGTGAAATGAAGTGACCAGTTCACTCCGTCTCGCCTTCTTTTGCTTTGTGCTTCTTCGGCCTCATCTGAATTTAGATGTGATGCTGATGCCCCTACGGAGGAGATTAGGCTCAAGGTATCCACGCACGCAGGCTGCATGGCCTTGCTTTAACGCTGGCCGTCAGAGCATCCCACACGGCCACACCCCATCGCAGCACAGTCCCAATGGTCGCGCAAATTCACATCTGTCGATGGGCTGTTGGGAAACAAAATCGGACAACTTGGGCTCAGGCGCTCAGCCCTATGAAACTGTCAATGGGCCTCAAGTTGTGGGCTCCGACAAGATAAAGTGGTTTGCAATTCGCCATATTTCTTCATGGAAACCACTATTAGAATTCCTTGTCAGCATCCACAAATTGCCCATGTTTGATGGTGCAGCCATGACACTACCATGGGCCTAAGCCCAACCACCTTAGGATAGATTACAACCTCCTTAAATAAATAGTATATTTGGTGAACAATGACCACAAAGCCGAAGAGGGTAGGACCCTCATGTTGATGGAGGTGTAGGGTTCTCGAATGAGAAAGACGTTCTCATTATATTCTAGGGTTTCGATATGCCTACGAGTCCAAGCGCTACCAGAAGATCATGGCCTGTGAGGTCAATGCCATCGAGTCGGTATGCCCCAATATCTCTGGTGGTTCGAGTTTGCGATCTCCTTCGATCGCTCAGATCACCCTAAATACATATCCAACCATGGAGGTTCTCCTTAGTGGCAGATCCACTCATTCACGGCATCAGCCTCACATAGGTCCTTACGGATGAAGGGGGGGGGGGTACCCTGCTACGTCCACCTGAAGCTGTAGATGCCAGGTCCACACGAGATCTTTACACTGCAAAGCAACTTCCACATAGTTCAATTGAGTGGGCTTACCATTTCAAGGCTAGCCAGGTACTTAGCCATCTTTGTCTCCAGTACTTATTTAGCACATTAGTAATGAGCTCCACATAAATACAATTCTTTAAGACATATAAAGGTCTCATTTTTAGTTTTGACTAATGAATTGGGCCCTAATGATGTTTATTTTTTTATGGAGCCAAAACAATGGGTTGTCTAAATGTTATTCTGAAGGGAAGTGACTAATGGCTCGAGCCGGTGCTTGTTGTAAAGGATTTTAATAAAGTAACAGATTGGCTATGGTAATTGTGATGACACTTATTGAAAGCCTCATGTTTGGTTTTGGAAATTGAGTAACCACTAGTGGACTAACCTTTTGCTAAGTGTTGATTAATCTAGGGGAAGTCCACACCAAGGTGGTGAGCAAGGCTAGGAGATGGATGAAGGGTGATCAATCCATATTGAGCAAGCTCACACTTGGAGAGAAGATGACGGAGGTGAAAACAAGCCCGAAGGCAAAGGTATATGTTAGGGGTTTTGTTTTTGCCGACCGAGATGCAATATAGTGTGTGGTTGGGATTTGGATAGATAGTCGTATGATTAAGAGGGGAACTCTAAAGTAAACACTACAAGGATTTGACCCTTTTAGTACCACTTTGTCTTTTTTGCAACACCACACATTTGGTTGCAATATTGGGTTCTATAGCAAGCAATGTTATAATTGGTAGCGATTTGTGGGCCTTATGGCCACCAAAATTGTGTGTTGCATTAGTCGTATGCTCTGTTGCAAGAGGTAGGAGTTATCGCTATGGTTGTAATGGCGTGTTGTGTTAATATTGACTCTTCGTTGCTAGAGTAATTTGGTGTCACTTACGATTTTAAAAATGGTTGCAAGTAGTTGTGAATATAGCCACAATGAAACTCTGTTGCCTGAATGTTGCCCTGCGTTGTCCGAATGGAGAAGTAAACGCGGTTATGTGGTGACACTAGGTGTTGATTTACATGCATAAGCATTAGAACCTAGTGACGTGGTGAGTTGCAAGCAAAAAGATTTTTCAAAATACTTAAAAATGCTAACTCGGTGCTTCAATGTTTGGCAAAACATTTTGTAGTTAGTATGCTTGTGAATATGGGAGTGAAAGGCACTCAGTGGTGCTATTTTTCACTCACCATGGTGCTCTGGTGTGGCATCAGAATGCCCACTAGAGTACAGTTCGAATTTAAAAGGAAAACCCTGCATTTATTTAGTTTAAATACGAAAATAGTTTAGTCTACTTACAAAACTGCCACTAAACCCTAATTTAGCCATAACTTCTCCGTTCTAATCCTGATTTAAGTGATTCTCGAACCTACGAGTTCATCACAACGTGTAAAACAGTTTTATAGGCTTGTTTATACCTGTTCTATGTATTGGTGTATTGTTCCTAATTAAATTCTTGTTTTTCCTTGTATGTTGTGCTCTAGTATGCTAGGCTTGTAATGCATAGAAGGGATCAGTTTGTGGTTACCGACGAGCAGGTTTTTGAAGAAGCCGAGTTGCAAGAGTTGGAGAAGGCAAGTGCCCCTTGACCATGTTCTCACCTATACGACTTTAATTCACTTTATTTACTATTTCATGCATGTGCCTCAATTTGTAAACCCTAAGGACTTACCTAGTCTTATCAATCATTCTTTGTACCTGGGTTTACATATGGGTATTTTAGTTATGCTTAGCTGCTCCAACCTACAGATGAGACAATGATCTAAGATCTATAATCCTGACTAATGGCTTATTGCAACAGATGATAAAAGATGGTTTTAGCAACATGGAATCATGATTAGTGGGAATGAGTACCTAGGCCCTATCTTTTTGGGTACTTATGTCCGCCCACCCTAAGGGCCGATTCTTGGAGCTTCCACCCAAGATATACGATGCAACCTCAAGCCAGGTTCTAGCTTGACGTAGTAACATATATTTTGGTAGTAATGTGGCAACTTTCTAGGTTGGCGCAAAAGGGGGTCTAGGTCATTAAGTTGTGGTAGTCCAGGTCTCGCTAGGGAGGCTTTGGGTCTATTACTTGGGCGACCTACGAGGACGGTTACCATGCGCCTAGGCTAAAACCTAGAGTGTTGTCACACTTACTAGTAGAAAACAGTCTCATAGTGAAACCCTGTGGTGCACCTTGGAAGTGCGATGTGGGCCTTGCAAACCCCTGCAAGTGGGAATCACCACTTGGGGGTAAAGTTGTACACCTCTGCAGAGTTTGATCAAACTGATATATATATATATATATATATATATATATATATATATATATATATATATATATATATATATATATATATATATATATATATATATATATATATATATATATCAGTCGTGCTCACGGTTATGAGCGGTCTAGACCCTAAATAGATCTTGATGGAAATGGTTATTAATTCAGATGACGGTTATTTCATAATGATGTTGCTCTCATTATACAATTTAATTAATGGTCTCGAACTATTTTACTCACCATAGTAATCATATTGTTTTAATAAAATATTGCCAACTAAAAATGCTAACCTCCAGTAAGCTATGTGAGCTTTTACCTTGATAACAGCCTTCCAAGTCATATTGTTTTTGCACTTGCTGAGTACGACACATGCTCACCCTTGCTATCTCCAAACAAAAATAAAGGCTGCTCAGAAGATCAAGAATGGGATGGCTATCCTGAGGACTTCCCTGGGTACTAGGCGCGTGTGTCCTGTCATCGACTTTCCCGTGGCTAGATGGAGAGGATGCCTCGTCCTCTTTTTATTAATGATGAATGCTACACTTATGTTCTGCTACTTTGATAAGTTGTAATAGTAATATACTCTTTTTGTACAATGTATTTGGTTCACCATTAGTGAAGTCAAGTACATGTGTGGAAATTGATTCTGGCACACATGTGATATGCATCTGGTTTTGTCCTTCAAAATCGAGTGTGACAGAAGTGGTACAAAGCCATGTTGACCATAGGATACACAACCTAGTTACACTACTACACTCGCACCTTTCACAGCCGCGTCGCAACCCACATTGTAGTCCAATTTTGGCCTCGGTGGTAAGCTATCGACAGTGATGGTCATAGCCCTCACCGTCGGCATCTGGGACCGACTGCGGTGTACACTAACACCGCCAATTGGCTTATGATCCGTCCATGATTAGGTCCTTACTTTCATCGCATTGGAACACGACCCGGCTATGAACACTACTAGAAATATCCACTTCTATGACAAATAGCTTTCATCACTAAAGGAGCCAAATTCGTCATAATTTTAGTTTTATGATGAGTTTATGACGAAAAACGGTTCGTCATAGAAGTCACGTCATTCCTTAACTTCTATGACGATTCTAGAAATTCTTCATAGATGTGGATAGATCTATGGCAAAAACTGACCGTCATAGAATTGCTTTGGCATGCATGGCAAGGGAGCATCCACGCTGGCGGTTGCTTCCGTTGGAGATGCTTTCCACATGTACCTGCTATAGCCAGTTGCATTGGAGATGGTTTGGGTATGTGTCACCTTGTTATTGGACAATGTGGCCATCCCTGGTTCTTGCATGTTTTAGGTTCTTAATGGACCACGTGTCGGGCCCTGTTGTTCCACATGTCAGTTTTCTATTGGCACACGTGTCGTGTTGCGGTTGGGTCACATGTCATTTCTTCATTGGTGTAACGTCCCGCCTCCCCGAGGCCAGGCCCGCTTACATCTGATAGCTTCCCTAGGATATAGACTGCCCTCACAGACCAACACCAATCTTTTCTGCGCACTTTGTCCCCACTCATGCGCCCCCGGAAAGAATTTCCCGATCGGTCACCCATCGCTCTAGGCCAAGCACGCTTAACCTTGGAGTTCTTAAGAGATGGGCTTCCAGAAAAGAAGTTGCAACTTGTTTGTGCGAGTATCCTATTAATCCTATTAAGCTCTGGGCCGGGGTGTTACATCTGTAACACCCCAGGTGTTTGTCACCAGTTAAGCAATGGGTTTAAGCTCAACCTTGACATGTTAAGTGGTGATGGTGATGTTAGGTCAAACATGTGAAAATGAGCCACCACTTAAACTTGGACCATGCACCATTGCTTACAATGTTGCCCTTTCCAAAAAGTATGCTTGAGTAATGTTGGATGCACTTCTTTCATGTGTCTCACATCAATATCCATCTATATTGATCACTGGAAAAGTTTCATGAAGTTTGGAATCAAAAAGTCACATGAAATGATAAGTTATATCCTTGTTGGAATGGCTTTACTAAGTGTTGGAATTGCACCCTTAATTGAATGGAATTATAGATCATCAACCAAACCTTGCAACTTTGCCCAACTAGCTCTAGATGAACTCTACAACAAAAGTCATGAAAGGTCCATGCTGAGCAAATGCCCTGAAAATGCTCCAATAGGGCATAAAGACCATTTAAGCTTTAGTGTGATACTACTTTGGTCAAAGCAGAACTACAGGTTTTGTGCATGTTTTGGAGTTTGACCTTTAATAAAAGTTGTAGCTCAGTTTGAGTAGAACAAACTTTGTTTAAAGGTCAAGACCTAGTTCAGTCT